TCCCAACCATGGCACCACCTGCCTGGAGTTTTGCAAGTTCTCCCTGTGCCTTCGTGGGTTTCCTCCCGGTACTCCAGTTTCCTCCCACACTGAACACATGTTGGTAAGTTAATTGGATCCTGTCTAAACTGGCCTTAGTATGTATGAATGTAAGTTAGGGATTTTAGATTGCACACCCCTTGAGGGTTAGGGACTGACGTGAATGTACAATATATATATGTAAAGCGCTGCGTAAATTGACGGCACTATACAAGTACCTGAAATAAAATAAATAAATACTTTTCATGGGTGAAGGGCCACTTAGTCAATGAAGGACCTGGCTGACAAAAGAGGGACTTATAGTTGGCAACCTAGTGGCTGCCTGTCTCTGCTGCTGTCATCTCAGTTGTCTTATCAGCAACAATGCTGATTGCATTGCCTGACGCATAGATTTTACATTTCCTGACATACAAATATGTTAAATTCAGACCTGATGACATGATACAACAAACTTATAAAGATGTCCGTCACATCAGTAACTCAAAAGTAGAATTTCACTTCTGTATTAGGTGTAAAAAAAAAAAAAATCTTCAACTGGATCATTACTTTCAGTGTGAAATGTGCCAGGTGGAAGCTTCCCCTCTACAAAGAAACGGGATGTTTTTTCCTACACGAGATTTCTGTGTTGTTTGTGAGATGTGTCAAGTGTTGGAGAAAGCTGTGAGATTCGGGAGCTTGTATACCAATGATTTTCACACTTGTCTGTTAGATCCTACTACAAACTCCTCCTGTCCCCGGAATGCACAGGAGCTGTGAAGACTTCACATAGTGAGAAATTCAGACCTGGAAGGAATAGCTAAAGGAGATGGAAACTCCAAGGATCTATAGCTTTTTTTTTTTTTTTTTTTTTTTTATTGAAGAAGTGGTGGAGTCCATGTTGGCTGTGTCTTCCCCTGGCTTATGATATGTCTTGGGTCTTCCAACAGTGGAATCTTTCAGCCATAATTGCAGTCAACCAGAAATGTTGGTTTTAGGTGGACTGACCCTCGAAATCCCATGATATGTTGTTTAATGGGGAAAAAAGGGGGTAGTTGCATGGCTTGGGTAAGCCAGGAAAGAAAATCGCTCGTTTTTTTTAATTTTTTTTTTTATTTATTTTTTTAATTTAGTGATATCTGCTCTGATTGGCATTAAGGCTCCACGCACACGGGGTGTTTTAATAACGCTGGTAATGTTAGAGGTATAGACTCCAGAGAGAGAGAGATCATATTACCCCGGTACAAATCATTAGTAATGCCTCATCTGGAATATGCAGTTCAGTTTTGGGCACCAATTCACAGAAAGAACATTGGGGAACTGGAGAAAGTACAGAGAAGGGCAACCAAACTGATAATAGGCATGAAGGAGATCAGCTATGAGGAAAGATTAGAGCAGTGGTTCTCAACCTTCATAATGCCGTGACCCTTTAATACAGTCCCTCATGTTGTGGTGACCCCCAACCATAAAATTATTTACCCAGTAATTCTAATTCATGAGTGTCGTTTTACCTCCAATACTGCCGCTTTCAACACAGCAGCTGCTTTCTACACAGTAGCTGCTCTTTACACATCGGAAATATGTGTTTTCTGATGGTCTTAGGGGACCCCTGTGAAAGGGTCGTTTGACCCCCAAAGGGGTCGTGGCCCACAGGTTGAGAACCACTGGATTAGAGGAACTGAATTTTATTCTCTCTTCAGAAGAGGAGATTAAGGGGGATATGATCAACATGTATAAATACATCAGTGGTTCATATAGTGAACTCGGTGTAGAGTTATTCAGCATGAGGTCATCACAGAGGACAAGGGGGCACTCCTTATGCCTGGAGGAAAAGAAATTTAATCTCCAAAAGCGGAATGGTTTCTTCACAGTAAGAGCTGTGAGAATGTGGAATAGACTCCCTCAAGAGTTGGTTCTGACCAGCTCAGTGGATTGCTTCAAAAAAGTCCTGGATTCTTTCTTGGATACACAGAATATAACTGGATACTAACATTTTATAGGTAAAGTTGATCCAGGGAATATCCTATTGCCTCTCGGGGGATTAGGAAGGATTTTTTTTCCCAGCAGGAGCAAATTGGATCGTGCTTTGCTGATTTTTTTTTTTTTTTTTTTTTGCTTCCTCTGGATCAACTGTGGGTATAGGATTATAATTTTTTTTTTTTTTCTATGGTTGAACTGGATGGACTTTTGTCTTTTTTTCAGGCAGACTAACTATGTAACTATGTTAGCTGTGTAAGTTTTTGTTAGCATTTTTGCATTAGCATTTTGCTGCGTTTTTTTGCGGTTTTTTTTTAGCTTTTTTTTTTTTTTTTTACCCAAAAAAAATATTTCTTTTTGGCTCAAAAAAACTTCCAAAAATACCGGTTCGCTGTGTTTTTCAGCGTTTGAGCATTTTTACAGCTAAAAAACTCCTCTAGAAACCCACTAGTTCTGTGTTTTTTTTTTTTTTTTTTTTTTTTTTTTTCAGCCAAAAACCGCTGATTACAGTCTGTGTGCATGGACACACAGGATAACATGCCAAAAGCCAAAAACAGCAGCTGTAAAAACGTCCAGTGTGCATGATGACTTACAGTGCTTCAAAAACTTGAGTCAAATGTTATATTTTGAAGCAAGTGTAAACCAGTCCTAAAAGTCCTTTGCTTATGTCATTTTTATTTATTTATGTATTTATTTATTTGACCTATGCTCATTTAGAATTTCCCAGGACTATGACCAGTTTGTGTTACATCAACATTCAGGTACAAGTCCCCTTTTTGTTGATACTGCTGCTTTTGTTGAATGGCGACTCGATAACTTGGTGGTCTTGATAATTATCCTGACTTTGATGGTTTAGAGATCACACGTAACAAGCCGAGAATTGGATCAGACTTGGTGACGGGGTGAAGATCGATGTCTTGTGCCTACACATCTCATCGGAGTTCAGATCAGCCCCAGAGTGGAGGACAGGAAGTTTAATTTCTCGTTTCACTGCCCGTCATGTCTGAGTAGTAATTGGGGAGGTGCAGTTAGATTAGGTGGTGAAGAGTGGAGTCATACGGTGTCATGGAACGTGTTGGAGTGAATTCATTTATAATGAATAATGTCTGAATGCTTACAGATCTAACGAGACCTTCACCTCTATACTCCAGGCTTTCCCCTAGCCTTCTGTCCACTGCTAGTGCCATCCAGTAAAGTGTATGACCATGTTAGACTTTAGATGAGTGGTGGTCAGCTTTTGAGTTAAAGGGGGCCTCATTTATGGCCCTTAAAATCTCCAAGGGGCCACATATAATATTCAGTATATGTAATGCTGTCAGCAACTGCACACATATTTAGGAAGATGGTCAGAGACTGCGGGCATTCTACAGGAGATGGTCAGGGGCTGCGGGCGTTCTACAGGAGATGGTCAGGGGCTGCGGGCGTTCTACAGGAGATGGTCAGGGGCTGCGGGCGTTCTACAGGAGATGGTCAGGGGCTGCGGGCGTTCTACAGGAGATGGTCAGGGGCTGCGGGCGTTCTACAGGAGATGGTCAGGGGCTGCGGGCGATCTACAGGAGATGGTCAGGGGCTGCGGGCGATCTACAGGAGATGGTCAGGGGCTGCGGGCGTTCTACAGGAGATGGTCAGGGGCTGCGGGCGTTCTACAGGAGATGGTCAGGGGCTGCGGGCGTTCTACAGGAGATGGTCAGGGGCTGCGGGCGTTCTACAGGAGATGGTCAGGGGCTGCGGGCGTTCTACAGGAGATGGTCAGGGGCTGCGGGCGTTCTACAGGAGATGGTCAGGGGCTGGCGGGGCGTTCTACAGGAGATGGTCAGGGCTGCGGGCGTTCTACAGGAGATGGTCAGGGGCTGCGGGCGTTCTACAGGAGGGTCAGGGGCTGCGGGCGTTCTACAGGAGATGGTCAGGGGCTGCGGGCGTTCTACAGGAGATGGTCAGGGGCTGCGGGCGTTCTACAGGAGATGGTCCAGGGGCTGCGGGCGTTCTACAGGAGATGGTCAGGGGCTGGGGCGTTCTACAGGAGATGGTCAGGGGCTGCGGGCGTTCTACAGGAGATGGTCAGGGGCTGCGGGCGTTCTACAGGGATGGTCAGGGGCTGCGGGCGTTCTACAGGGGATGGTCAGGGGCTGCGGGCGTTCTACAGGGGATGGTCAGGGGCTGCGGGCGTTCTACAGGGGATGGTCAGGGGCTGCGGGCGTTCTCCAGGGGATGGTCAGGGGCTGCGGGCCTTCTCCAGGAGATGGACTGTGAGGGGTGTGGAAATTTTGGAAAACAAATTGCTTGTCCAGGGACTAAATCGATGTCCCAATCTCCTTGTCCCTCATGACAATATATTTGTCCAGATTAAAAAACCGTATTTAAATCTGAAGTGCTTTTAGGAATGTCTGGAACTTTTAAAAACAAAAGGGGCTTTATGGCGACTTAAACATTTCATATTTTTAACATTGGGCTTTTTATCTCCTCCTCCCCGCCTGTCTCCAGCACCGCACCCAGGAAACTAGTAGGGAGAGGAGAGACCTTGCAGTGTAATGAGCACCGATTGGCTTCTCATCAGGAAAGGGGAGTGTTGGGCTTATTCTTTATCCCTTTCTCTGCCAGAGTCATTTTTGCGTTTAAAAAAAAAAATCATTTTAGGCCAGAAGATTACACAGAACCCCCAAACATTATATATTTTCTGAAAGCAGACTTCCTAGAGAATAAAATAGTGGTAGTTCCAATTTTTTATATCACACGATATTACCACAAAGGTCTAGGAAATGCAAAATTTCATTAAAAAATACGCTTAGTGTTACTAAACCCACAACAGTAAAATCAGTCTGTATATGCAGTAAAGCATGCTTGTTATACTCACTGTGGAACCTAAGGGGTTAATCCTCTGCATTGTGTAAAAAGGCCTTTTGATCCTGACTTCTTCTCCTCTTGTTCAAATGTCCATTTCTTATCTCCTGATAAGACAGACTGAACCGTAGCCATTCTGCACATGCTCAGTTTAGTGTGTATTGCTAGAGGTTTTTTTTTTTTCTTGGGAGAATGTATGTAATCAACACAGGGCCAATCAGCACTGTCCAGACAGAGGTCAGGAATTTTGCATCCTCCTAGAGCAGAAAGAAAACTCCTCCTACAAGCTTTAACCAGTGCTCTGCTGAACACTGATAGAAGTCACAAGACTGCTAAAACTGCTGATGAGAAAAGGTATTTAGCAGTTTATATTTACTAAAATAATTGCATTTCCATGTTCTGTGTACTGTGGGAGACCAGATATAGTGAATGCAAGGTCCTGGGTCTAGTAACACTTCAAGTTAATTTTATGGCACAAAAAAGCATTAAGTTACTCCATTTTGTTTGGTAAAATCTAAAAGATGAGGTTGCACCAAATGAATAGATGTCAAATCTTAAGTTTGCGTGCGCTTGTGAAATGGAAACAAACTTTAGTACCCTATATTTCCTATAGGCAATGCTTTTAAAGCCCCTTATAGGTCATCAGTCTAGCAGTACAGAGTAGATCTGGTGCTAGAATTGCTCTCATTCTGGCGTGTGCAGCGATATGTAACGTGTGTCGCAATCGACGTTGTGATGTGTAGGTGCCGAAGCGTGTGTATATATGCAAGAGGGGGTAATCAAAATTTTGTTTTTTGGGGGAGTGGGGGGGGGGGGGGGGGGATGTGCTTGGGCTTAATTTTTTTACGATTTAAAAAAAAATGTTTTTTTTAGCTTAACTTTTTTTTTTTTTTTTTTGCATCATATGGGGACAAAAAGTCCCCTGTGTGATAATTTTTGGTGACCGGTCCTTTTTATTGAGACATCCAGGGTCTGAAAGACCCTGGATGTTTCCCCTGTACTCCACTGGATGTAATGCAGTGCATATTGCACTGCATGACATTCTTTCCTGGCCTTGATGGCTGGGAAATCTGTCACCGGGGACCCGGAAGTGACATCACTTCTGGGTCAGAATCCAAAGAACAGAGCTATACCGCTCAGGCAAACAATCCAGATCAATCCACGACAGGTGCAGGCTCTGGCTCGCCACACACACGGTGCAACAGGAAGAAGGGTCAGCCGCACACCGGAGGATTGATGAATATAGTGTGTATTTATTGATCCATAGGACACCCGAAACACGAAACACCAGGACATGAATACAGGACCTGTTAACGCGTTTTACGTGATTTCTTGCTTAATCATGGTGTGCGCATGACCCTTTTTCCTGTTACTTCTGGGTCAGGACATGAACGGGAATGGACATGGCCACTCTCCCCCCTCCCCTATACCTGCCGGCACCCGCTGAATCGGTTCCCAGCCCGCAGATGGGCAATTGGAGCCAGGGAGACATAGTGGGCAGGGTGGCGGAGGCTGGCACACTAGTGGGCTGTGCGGAAGCAATCAGGCAGAAGTGCAGCCGCAGGAATGCTTCCACCTGACAGTTGAGCCCTGCTGCTTAGGAAAAACTACATGCCCGGTGCTGGGTGCCGGGTGATATAAATTGAACATCCCTGCACTAGGAAAACATTACGTGAGACTGATAAAGATTGTTGCATTTACAGCCCCATTACGGATCAGTGTTCCCATTCACACTGATTTCTGGGGTTCTAAGGCTTCAGGTTGGGCAACAGGGCCTTAGATGATAGCAGGAAAAAAAAATAAAGTAAGAATTTGGCTAACTGACTTTTTTAATGTAAGCTTGTAGGTACATACGAATTTTGGCCCTGAGCCAGGAGCAGGTTTACATTTACGTTTTGCAATGCGACAATGGCCGCAACATCACGCTTCGTTTGGCTACCATTCAGGATGAATGAAACCCAAATACACGTCGCTCATTTTTGCTCCGATTTGGAATCATGGGCACAATTGGGGTGGTTCTCTCCGCTATTCCTAATTGCCCGTATGTGAACGGGGCCTTGGTTCACCTTTTTCATTTTTTCTGTAAAAGTGAATTAACACTTTAAGTCATGGGTGTCAAACTGGCGGCCCTCCAGCTGTTTCCAGACTACAAGTCCCATGAGGCAATTCAAGATCGACAGTTACAAGCATGACTCCCAAAGGTAGAGGTATGATGGGACTTGAATTTTCGCAATAGCTGGAGGGCCTCCAGTGTGACACCCCTGCTTTAAGTCATCTCTAACTACAAAATCCAATGGGGCATCCTGTATCCTTTACTCCTCCTGGGACCGTACTCCAATGGAGTGAAGACCTCAGCGGGGCGGTGGTAAAGAAGAGGACGCCACTATTTCTGTTGACGGGTTTTAACCCTTTTATTCCCTTCTCGCAGTTTATTTTCTATGTACACTGTATGGCGCTTGTGGGAGGCACAAACAGTTCTACGGACGCAAGTCCTGTTTGTATAAAGTAGATCCAGAGAAAAGATTTGTTTTTTTTCCACTTCTGACGGCTTTGTGGCCCCATCCATGCCTGAAATCTCTTCCCATTCATGCCCTAACCCCTGTGGTTCCCCTGGCTCTTTATTGTTTTGGAGAAATAATGGAATTTATCTGGCTCTGCACAGCCCAGCACCTGCAATGTAGAGATAAGAGGAACTGTCACCTCCTCACCTCTGATTTATTGCCCCCTTCCATTTCCTGAGAGTTGTTTGGATGGCAGCACTGCTTTTCCAATCTACTGAGCTGTGTTATACACTGTGTTGTTCCACCCTTGAAATGAGAGCAGGCCAGGGTTATACACCTTCCCTGATTGTGGATTAGTGCATTCACTTGCAGAATGTCATTCCTCCATGTGCTATATGTTCTTGGGATGGAGGTAGCCAGCCTTGCACCCTTCATATTCATATCTGTCTCATTCCTCCAACATTATATTCCTGCAGATCAGATCATCCCAGGGGCGGACTGACAACCTATGGGGCTCCCGGGCAATAGGGGATCATGGGGCCCCTGTGTCCTTGCCCAAACTCAAAAAAGCCTATGAAAAAGTTACCAGGTGCATCTCATGGGGCCCCCTACTGACCCTGGGCCCTCGGCAGTGCCCGAGTTTCCAAAAGGTCAGTCCGCCCCTGGATCATCCTCAACATGAGGATTTTGGAGAAATTCCAAAAAAATAGGAACAGATACCTTTTTAGGTGCCAATTTTCATGTTTTATTACAGAAAACCTTTCACAAACTGGTGAAACAGCATGTCAAAAGACCCGTAGAACTAAAGATTAAGGCTGCAAAATGTATATGCAAATCTCACTTTTTCCATGTCATGGGCCCAATTTAATGCTTTGTGGTATCCCCTCCCCCCACCCCAATCAAGTTCACCCTTTTAGGATCCATTCACATTATGGTGAGGGGGGGCCTAAGCCCTTCTGTTGGTTCTTTATTGGGATGGGCTGCCTCGCTGGCTCGTAGAAGGGTTCAGAGTAAAAAGAGTCTGCACACGCCTGACTTTTACGGGAAGAGTCAAGATTTACATATAAATTCAGCCGTTCATGTCTCTGCATACTGATTACTTGGAGTTGTGGTTTATACTGAAGGGGACTTGTACTTGTATCTCTTGTTGTCGTGTGCTCAGTTTCAGTTGGCCAGGTTTGTGTCCGGTTTAGGATCATTGAAGGAAATGTAGAAGGAGGGTCGCTGGTAGAACCTCTTCTAGGCCACATTTATTTATTTATTTATTTCAGGTACTTATATAGCGCCGTCAATTTTACGCAGCGCTTTACATATATATTGTACATTCACATCAGTCCCTAACCCTCAAGGGGTGTACAATCTAAAGTCCCTACCTTACATTCATACATACACATACTAGGGACAATTTAGACAGGAGCCAATTAACCTACCAGCATGTCTTTGGAGTGTGGGAGGAAACCGGAGTACCCGGAGGAAACCCACGCAGGCACAGGGAGAACATGCAAACTCCAGGCAGGTGGTGCGGTGGTTGGGATTTGAACCGACGACCCTAGTACTGCCAGGCGGAAGTGCTAACCATTTAGCCACTGTGCTGCCCCACATGAAACTGAAGGGAATAGGCACACCACCCAATGCCATTGCTGACAACTTGTCAAACTGTTGTTGTATGAGAAAAATTAGATATGAAAGACTGTGCTTGATCAGAAACCATAATCTATGCTACAATGTTTCTACATCAAACAAAAAAAAAAAGTCTTTGTCGTTTGAGAATTTTCATGTAGTAGTACCATACGCAGGTTTGACTTGCTTGAAACATCGAGGAAAACCAGCCGATTGTTCGTCCGATTTTCTTATAGTTTGTAGCAGGCTTTACCCTCGTCAGGAGTTGTGCACCTGGGGGTCAGGGAGGGGTCCTACTGCTTTGGAAGGTTGACCAGAGACATACCCTATGTGCACTTTTTTGTGTGTTCACATGCATTTTCTTTGTTCACTTATGGCGTTTAGATGTTGTGCACCCACTCTGGGCTTCAAGAGAACAAAAAAATGCCAGGCCAAGAGCATGGCGGTACACCTAGCGATATGTACATTTAGGGCAGCATGCACCCAAGGACAGCAGCCTGGAATACAAGTGGTGTTCATTCTGGGCATTTGCCCCCTTGACGCATGGTGCTTTAAAGGGAAGTAGCACTGAGTTCACCAGCCTTGTCCAGCTGTGGCATCCGTTAGACTCGTAGACTTTGCCAGGCTGCCGGCAGCAGGGATGGACAATGGCCTCCCTTAGCAGCTAAATGCTGGAGCCTCATGCTTCGGGGCTAAATGCTCGGTGTGCACGAGACCTTACTCAACTGAATGGTGGATGAGAAAAACATGATTGGCAGGCAATGTCTGGAATGTGTCTTGTGTGACCTGTTATCATACCCTTGCCCGGGGTATTGTCTGCTTGCTCCCGGCATAGCGGAGTTTTGCCCTATGGGAAAGAACGAGCCACACTCTCCTATTATTGACTCAGGTTGGGAACATTCCTGCTGGTTTGGAAGGAATATTTTCACTGCTCAAATATTTGCATGCCTGGAATAACTGAGAAAAAGGTAATCTTTCCCTGATCATTAAAGGTGGCTGGGCAGCCATGAAAGACACTATTCTCTACATCCAAATCCAGCTAAATCCCACGTGAAATGCTTTTCAAGGACTTGGGTTATTTGTCAGGGCAACAGATGTTACACCTGGTAGATCAAGGCTGTGTGATTCGCACCG